CGGTTCAGCTTCATCAGCTCCCGTGTTACAGTTGGAGATGCTGGGAGATGGGGCTGGCTGCCTCAACTGCATTCTCAGCCCTGGGAGGTCACTGCTGCCTTCTCAGCCTGCCTCTCTGTTTCTGGAACGTTACAGTCTTTTGAAGCTGGTGCTGCATGTTGCTTACTGGACTGCATCCCCCGTGGTGCATTACTGTTCTCCTCTGTACCAGATGTCCCCAGCATTCAGTCCTTGGTGTAAGGACTGCCCAGGGAAGTGGTTGAGTCCCCATCCCTGGAGGTATTTAAAAGCCAGGCAGACGAGGTGCTTAGGGACATGGTTTAGTGGTGGACAGGTACGGATGGACTCAGTGATCTTAAAGGCCTTTTCCAACCAAACAGTTCTATGATTCTATGACTACATTCAGTTGACACCTCAGTTCTGTGATGTGACCAGATCCAGGGACTGATATTCTTTCTGGAAGCTTTTGCTTGAGAAAGCCCTGAGATGGGCAAATAAAATGAAATAACTGCCCTGAAGAGACCTGTAAGATAAGAACAACTGTTGTGGCCTTGCAGGACCAAAGTCCCTCCTTCATTAGCTTACGTGATAACCCTGCCACCCTATCCCTTTTTGAAAGAACTCGTTGATACAGTAGATACACCTCAATTCAGGAAGTGGTTTAGTGTTTCATCTGTATCCCTGTTTCCTGGAAGATCTTTCTTTGACAGCTCATTGCTAGGTGGCCCATTCTTAGAGCAGGAAGGACGTTAAATGTGCGTGCTGTGATGACCTATGTGTCTTGTGGTAACAACTTAAGCAAGAGGCAGGCTCTCTTTACTCTCTTTAACTTGAATGAATCCTGCATGCTGGATGCTTGTGTTGATGTCGCATCTTCCCAGCAGTCTGCAGGCTTCTTCTGGAATCATTCTACTGCCAAGAGGTTTGATAGGAAATAGTAGGTTCTACGTGAAGTATATTTCCCTTAGTCATCTCCTACTGCTTTATCCTTAGCTGTGACTTCTGTATCAAATGAGACTTCCTTCTTTACATTCAAAGCAAACCTATAATGTTCCTCAGTCTTGTGGAGAAACATCCACTTCTGTCCTTTGCTGCAGTCTGGTTTGTGAATTATTAGGACCGTCTGCTTCCTGAGAGCCTGTCCTTCTGATCAGTTGTGCAGTATCCCTGGAGTTGTGGACCATGCTCTTCTTCCCTTTCTGTCCTCTTTCCTCCAGCAGCAACAGCTCGAAGTGGCCTCTTGTTTTTGACGTGACGTAAGTTGAGACCTGTGGGTGCAGTTGGCAATGACTGTGAAGTACCTTCCATGCCACTTTGCTTTCTGCCCCCTTCCAAGGCCTGTTTGATTGATTCTGCATTACTGAACACCTGGGGCATGTTAGGATAGACCCAACTGCACCTCTGGGGTAGGGGCTATTCCCTCTGCATCAGAGACGAAGGGTAGTTGATGCTTCATTCTGGGCTGCAGAAGCCTGATACCGATTATATTACTGCACTTGAATTTGCAGGTAGTCTAACTTTCTGCCACCTAATCTGGAGAAGAGCTTAGTCAATCCATTGCTACAGAAAACCAATTATGACCTCTTGTCATTACTTTTTTGGGCAAGGCTACTTATAACGCTTGCTCTTGGGCTTTCTGAAGCCCTGTCATCCAAACTCTTAGATGTAGATATGGCTTTTGTGGTACTACAGCAGGTGTGAACTTGCTTTCATTGTCCTCATCCCCCAAAACTTGTATGGTGTTTTAAAGGAGGCTATTAGAGTGTTTAAATAAATGCATGGGTTTTCAGTGGAGATACATTTGCTGTAATTTTGATCTTGTAGTAGAGCATCAATATAAGAGAAATAAGGGTCTCTATCAGAGATAATATATTCAGTTTTATTAAGCACTCATTCTGAATGGAAGAACATGTATTGCCAAACTTATGGTATGTTTAATACATTGTGGGGGCTCATTGCTGTTCTTAAATGTGCTGGTTTTTTTTAACAGTTTCCTTGTACACTTTCGACAAGGCTAAGCAGTGTATTGGCACAATGACAATTGAGATAGATTTTCTGCAGAAGAAGAACATTGACTCCAACCCCTATGACACAGACAAGATGGCTGCTGAATTCATCCAGCAGTTCAACAGCCAAGCCTTCTCCATAGGCCAGCAGGTGTGGGTTTTGTTTTGTTTTTTAAGGCTAAAATATTCTTAAGTAACATGAGTGTGCTTGTACTGCAGTGGTCTAAAATACTGAAGAATGCCTACGTACTGACTCTGTGCTGCTAGGGACAGCTAATGGGCAGAAGTTATTTATTGTGTGAACAGTTTCTTTGTGAAAAGTTGAACCATTATAAATTTTTCACCATGAGAACAGTCAACCATTGGAATAATCTCCCCAGGAAAGTGTCTGACTCTGCCACATTGGACACTTTCAAGACGCAGCTGGACAAGGTGCTGGGCTGTCTTGTCTAGACTGTGCTCTTGCCTAGAAAGGTTGGACCAGATGATCCTTGAGGTCCCTTCCAACCTGGGATTCTATAATTCTATTATTATGACTTTCACTGAGAGCATGAGCAAAGTGGTTTAAAATCTGCATTTTCCTTATCTAAAGAAATCTGTCTGTCTTGGTGAATGAAAATCCCAAGGCTTGAGAGAACTAGGTTCTTTCCCTGTTGTGGACAGTTGGATATAAGCATGGCATCTCCTGGAACCTTATGAGAAGTAACTTTTGTCTTCCTTCTGTATAAGATCAAAATGAACATCAGTTTTAATTAATTCACAGTAGCACATTTCAAGTGCAGTGTGTTGTATTCTAACATTGATCACTACTCTGTGGACTCCAGCGGTAAAATAGGTATGAAACATTTGACATAGGGATTTCTGAAAGCTGATGTCCCTATAACGGAGATTCTCAGCTCTGCAGCAGATGAGCTTCTGCCCCTGTGAACATCTGCGGTAGCCGCTGTTTTGCCATATTCTCAGCACAGGTCAAGGTTTGTCTCTCATGGTAATTTACAACTTGTAGGGTCTGAATCTTAAGTCAATTGCAAATATAATCTTGGAGGAAAGGAATTGTGCAGAGACAGCCTGCTTTTCTGTGGGATGGACCCTGCTTCTCGTAATATTCATTCTGTCTGTCTCTACTGTAGCACTATTGCTTGTCAAACTGAAATATGAAAGATCAAAAAGGTTTGAGCTAAATAATTCTCCTTGCCTAAAACCAATATTAAAAGTGAGAGGAAAATGTCAAGAGATGATATAGAACATTTAACTGGGGAGAAAAGGGTAGGGAAGAGAAGCTTTTCTTGGAAGGAGAATTTGTCTTTGAATTTTTACAGTTGACTTCATGTTCTGATAATTTTGATCTGTTACCCTTAAGTATGGGACATGAAAAGGACATGTTCAGTACACCAGACTGTTACAGGGTAAAAACTACAAGGAATTTGTTGGGTGGTAGACTTAGTCCTCAGGCCTCTTTCTCTGCAAATCTTAGCAGCCTTGTCAAAATCCTTTTTAGCTTTTTAATGAGCTAAAACCCCTTCTGATTTCCTTTCCACAGCTTGTGTTCAGCTTTAATGACAAACTTTTTGGCCTGTTGGTAAAAGACATGGAAGCTATGGACCCCAGCATTCTCAAAGGAGAGTCTGGAGCAAGCAAAAAGCAGAAGGTAGGCTCACAGCAATATTCATTCCCTAGGGACTGCAGAGATTCAAGTACTGATCAGACCTTGCTACAAGGAGGAATTATGTTACTTGCATTTTGAGAAGTTGCTCATTTGTTTCATTTGGCTGTGTCCTTTGCCTCCAAGAAGATGAGCCAATTTATTATAACCAATGAGCTTCTGCATTCAAAGATGTTTGTTTTAGAGGAGGTGTTGGTATTTCATTCTTCCCGATGACTTTTGTAGTGTGGCTTTTGCTGCTGTTTCTTGCCTTCTGAGATGTGCTTGGAGATACCTAAGGAGCAACCTGAAGTTGAACATAATAGCTTAATGTAATTATTTGTTTCCCTCCCTTTTTGCAGATTGAGGTTGGTTTGGTTCTTGGAAACAGTCAAGTTGCCTTTGAGAAAGCTGAGAACTCCTCTCTCAATCTGATTGGTAAGTGCCGCTGTACCTGAAGAGAAAACTAATTCTTGAAGTTTGCTGCTTTTCAGGCCTCAGAGACTTGTATGCCTCAAAGTTTGTTTTTCTGGTTACATCGGTTGACCTAATCCATTGAAAACCGCATCTCAAAATGTCTCCCAGGTATCTGTTTAAACCAGCAGATGGCTGGATTTGATCCTTTAGGAACCTGTTGCACCCTTTAGGAAGCAGTTTGTAGATGCTCAGGATTCTCTTGAAAACCACTGCACTGATAAGACACCGTCCCTCCAGCAGACTTTGCTGCTGCCAAACAGGGGCTCTGTAAAAGTCACTGCCCCACCAGTATGAAGCTCCACAACTGACCGATTTACTGGAGCAGTCCTCTGGGTGTCTATGCCATGCTTATCACCATGGTCTATCTAAAATACACAGAGACAGGAGGAGAAAAGGTCAGTGTGACTGAGAGATTCTGGCAACAGCAAATTGAGTTTGATGAGTGGAGAAGTTAACCTAAGCATTCTGGACTCCTAGGCCTAGATTAGAAAGGTGCTGTGGAACAGCTTCAGGAAAAGTCAGCAATTAGTTGAATTATTTTAACTCTTTAAACATCAGACAATTATATTTTCAGGGATGCTAACAAGCCAACACCTTTTTAATTTGAGTTTAATTAAACCAGCAGGGAAATAGGAAACAGAACTTTTTTGAATTTGTTGCCAAAGTTTCGAAGTGAATGCAAGCCTTCTGCAAATCCCATCTCTAATGAGATCTCATCTTCAAGGGTAGAGGACAGCTTCTGAAGAGCACTTTGGGTTTCTTGACTTCTGAAAGTCCTGCTCTTCAGAAGCTGATGGCAGCTGCAAAACCCAGCACAGCAGGTTCATTGTCTGAGTTTGTATTAACTGTTTACACAGCAAGATTATTAACAAAGTTATGAGCTATGAATCACGGAATAATTGATGTGTCCTCCACACATTAATTTAGAAAGAAACTGGTGTAGGGCTAGGGAGGAATCTGGTGTGTTACTATAGAGCCACCAGCTTGAATGATGGGGACCTGGACCACAAAGTGGGCAGTGAGGGCCCCTTCCCTGCAGTTGGCTCTGTGTGCCCTGGGGCCGTGGTGGCTGTGTGGCAGAACAGATACACACCCTGTTAGTCTGGCTGTTCCTTTTCTTCTCAATGTTACGAAGTGGATGATGCTTACTAAGCCTACAGTTGCAAATGCCTCCCTGGCTGGTAATATGGCTCTAGGCATTCTTTTCTAGGTGTGATTCAAGTCCAACACTTGAACAGACAGTCTAATTCTTTTTTCTTATTTTCCTTTCCTATTTTGCTCCCTCTTCCTGGAGTCTTGTGAGCTAGGAAAACTTTTGCTTTTGCTGCTGCTCTTCCACAGATGAGAAGTGGTAGGTGAAGGCTGCTGTGAGTGGGGCTTCAGTGAACCTGGCCAGCTTGGATGAGCACTCGGTTGAGTTTTAATACTGATTATTTTTGCAGTAGGCTTCAAAGCACAGTTCTACTTGACTGCGAATGCTCAGTACTTTGAGTATTTGGTACAGAAATAAAGCAGATGAGGGTAGTAGCTGCTTGGGAAGGTAGAATTCAACTCATTCGGCATTGCAGGAGCTTGTGGCTGAGTTTTGATGTTGCCCTGAAGTGCCATCTTCCCTCAGATACGAGGCTGTGACTTCATGTTCTGCAGTTGTCTGCTTCATGTGCTACAGTCGCTCCAAAAAATGGGGAGAAATGAGGCTGTTGTGTAACCGCAGAGCTTGCATCTTATGTAGATGTTTTTGTCTGAAAGTACAGATCAGTACAGTCATTTGTACTAAAAAAACCCCACCAGAGGTCCGTGGGCTGAATTGTAGATGACTGTAATTAAGCATATTAACAAAGATACAGGTTTTAAGAACACCGAATGAAGTTTGCATGGGCAATTAGTTCGTACCTGTGATTACATGATTACAGCCCGTTTAGTTTTTACTGTGTTTTGATAGGACAGCTTGAGATGAGTATTAACATAATCCAATTTATTGCATCAGAGCAAGCAGTGATATTTTACTTGGTTAATATTCAAAGCCATATAATGACCTGCAGTCTTCCTCCTAGCATGTATAGGTGTGAAGAGTGGTCCTGTGGGAGAGCCGATTGATTGGATATAGGAATCCTTCACTGTGATTCAATTTCATTGCCTGCAGACAAGACAAAAGAGTTGCTTATGTCTCGATTTACTTCTGTCAGATTGGTGCTTTATTTAATCTCCTCACTGATCTAAGGCAGAGCTACTTAATGTGCTTTGTTAGTCTCTGGAGAACTGTAAAGTTGTGAATAATTAAATTCTGAGAGAGGAGATAAAAGTAAAGTAAGCATCACCGAGCACCACCTTCAATAAAGGGCCTTTATTTTTTCAATCGAAAAGAATTGTGATAATTTAAAAAAAAAAAACCAAACCCAATTCTGTTTCTTCTATGTAGCATAAAATCATGTGTTATAAAACCAATTTTTAATTCAGTCTGTGATTGTAATCGGATGCAGCCAGAAGAGGGGGGTATAGGCTAAGTTCTACAGGAGGAGGAACATCCTGGCTGAGCAGCCTGATATAAAAACTGTACTGGAGCAATGAGATAATAAATACGCAGTAATCGGTGAATCAAATGCTCGCTGCTGCCCTGCATGGTACTGTGTGTTAATGCTATATCTTATACATGCAACCATGCTGTCCCTAACATGTTCTTGTATGTTTATTTGGCTGCTCTTGGAATTGAAGTGTTGATTTCAGCTGTGTTTAGACCAAGATTAGTAGCAGTCTGATTCAGCTAACACAGAACTCTTATTTAGTGTATTTACCGGACTTCTAGATGCTGACTCATTACTCGACTCAACTTGAAGTATCTCTAGAAGAGGTTATGGAATAAATCAGCAAAATGCACAGTTGCAGTTTGCTGGGTCTGGCTTTTTAGGGGGGGGGATAATGGTCCCCAGGCCCAATCCTGTAAAGCCCAATCTAAGAAAACACAAGGCATCTGATTTCTGCATGATTTAAGAATGATCTTTAGTCTTTGCTTTCTCCCTGGTTTTTTATATTACTGTTGGTTTCTCTGGTAGCTAAGCAAAGTGTTGTTGCTGAAAGCCATTTGGAAGTGTCAATCTAACCGATAAGAGTGCCAGTGCTTGTTTATAAATACCCTCAACTTAAGGTGAGACTTCATGGATTTGACAGCATCTCAGCAGTATTCTTATAGGAGCGTTTGTGCTTATTTTCTACCTCCTAAATGCCTTGAGTACTTTAAAGCTTCTCTGGAAAGGGATTAAAGAGCTCTGTAAGAGTTAAACTCGTGTGGTTTGTCAACAGAAGGGAGAGGAGGGTTACACCATTGTGTGGAGGCTACAAAACCTGTGCGTAGGGGATCTGGCTGAACGTGAAGTAGCTCTAGAAGAGATTATGGAGCAAACAGACAAAATGAACCATGGTGGTTTGTCAAGACTGGCTTCTATTTTTCTGAGTTGTAAAGGAACTTGCTGACCTCGTCATTGTTTTGTGTAAACTTGCTTAAAATTGCTCTGGTATCTGAGGACTGGAAGAGGGCAAATGTGCTGTCTGTTTTTAAAAGGATTCCAGAGAACCTGAAATCTGTACAGAAAAAAAAATCAACAGAAACTGTAATAAAGAATCGAAATAGCGGGTACCTGGGTAGAGATGATACATTGGGAAGGGTCAGCCTGTCTTCTGTAAGGGCAGTCCGACTTCATGATCCCACTGGAGTTCATTACAGGAATCAAAAAACATGGGGATAAGGGCTGACATCATCTGCTGCTTGTTGTTCAAAGCTCTTCCAGCAAAGTTCTTTATGAAAATTTCTTTTAAAAAAAACTAAATGGAGATCTGTAAGAGAGAAGGTCCTTGCATGACTAGATGAGTGATGAAAGGGTAGAAGTAAATAGCCAGTGCCAGTAGAGTTCAGCATGGATCTCTGCTGGGCCCTTTGCTTTTCATTATAATTATTGAATAAACTGGAAAAAAGTCTGAGTAATGAAGTGACAAAACTTGCTCTTACGGAGCTCGGTGACTAAGAAATAAAATGGCAGAGGAAATTCAATATAAATAAACGTAAAGTGATGCGTGGAAGAATGCTTCTAACTTTGGTCAAAAATGATTGCTGCTTTGGGCTAAGATCCCAGGCGTGGTAGTTTCAAGAAACTGCTGGATCCATGCTCAGTAGCAGCCTGAGCCCTGTTAAGAATTGCTAAATGTGGTTGTTAAGAATTATTACACATTATTAATAAAGGAATATGAATGAAGCGGAGCTTAATTTTGTACCTGTATTTAAGATACAAACAAACCGCAGTGCGTGCAGTTCTAGTCTGCCTGTCTGTCAAAGGGTGTAGTAGAAATTGAGAAGGTGAGAGGAGAACAAGGGTGCTCAAGCCTGGAATGGCCACTGTGTAAGGAAGGAAGAACTGGTGAAGACTGCTCTGCCTGGAAAGGCACGACTGAGGAGGATGCAGGACAAGTCTAATATCGTCCCAGGTAGTCTGAAAGAGTGGATACTGAGACTATTTACTGTTTCTTCAGACGTAAGACTTGGGGGACATGAAATGAAGCTGGTGGGAGCTGGCTCAGACACATGGAGAGAGGTGTTTGTTTGTGCAGCTGGTGGCAGACGTGGTGAGCCAGATGCTGTAGGACAACCTGGGTACTAAGTTTGCACGGGTCCGAGGGGACCTTGGTAAATTTGTGGCAGAGAAATCTACTGTAGATTCTTAAACACATAGGAGCAGCACCTGGCTCGAGAAATCCCTGAACAGGAAAGTTGGAAGGCTGGGAAAATAATTTACTGAAGTAAGCTGAGTCTGACTGCCCTTGCATCCTTGTCACGGTGCATCCTGCTGGCTAACATTTGAAACCAAGTGTCGAGTTAGCTGGGCATGGGTCTGACCCGGTAGGACTGTTCTGGGGTTTGTACTTTATTTGCTGTAATTCTGCTGTGCTACACGTTTGAAATGATTTCTTTTTTTTTTTTTTTTTTTTTTTTGTGAAATGGATAACTTACGTGCAGACACTGAAAGAACCCTTGAGAAAATGGGCATTGGGGGCCTTGACAAAGAATTCTCAGATATTTTCCGACGAGCTTTTGCTTCTCGAGTTTTTCCACCTGAAATTGTGGAGCAAATGGGTGAGTATGATCCGGGGTACAGGATGCAGGCCTGTTCCTGGTTTGTTAAAGACTGGATATCAGTTAACAACCTTGTGATGCTATAACATGGCAGTTGCTTAGGGATTTAATAGACTACAAAGCCTTTTCTTCTCCTGTTGCTCCCAAATGTCTTTCATACTCTTGTTACTTGGCTAGAGAGGAGGGATAAAGAAACAACGTGAATACTCAACACTGTACGTGAAATGTCTGAATGAATGAGATATAGGATTTAATGGAGTGCTTTTCCATTGGAACTCAAATGCTCCCTATTCTTTGAATGCTTCATTTTATTCATGGCAGTGGGACTGAATGCTCCTATTCCTGACTTACTGGCAATGGGCTGTCTATATAGGTCAAAGGAAATTCTGTCTTAATGATTCTACCTTATATATTAAATATCTGTTGTCCTGGCAGTGGCACTATAAACCTGTGTCCTTCTCACAGTGTTAGCCCAGTAAATAGGGTATCTTGTGTGTTCTGTGCTTGGTCAGACTGGAAGTGCTGGAGAGGATACGCAGGCTGCGGCATGTCTTGGAGTCTGTGAAATAAAAGCACAGATTCTAAATATAACTTCTGGTTTTTTTGAGTCGGGGGAAGGAAAGGCAGTCCCTTTACTTTGTAAACATGTGCTGGCAGGGAGATAAATAGTACTGGTTTTAATTTTTAGTAAGTAATATGCAGCTGCAGATATCTTATTTTGTCACGTAAAGTAGCTGGGGCTGTTATAGCCGGTCCTCGTTCTCTGAATATAATCTCTGTGGGTTCATATTTAAACTTGGAATCCGTAGCTGTATAACTTCTATGTATGTTTATATTTCTTGATCCACCTTCCCTCTCCCCACAAATGAAGCAATCAAGATTTTGATTACAAAACAGGTTTTCATCAGAAGATATGTCCTGTTTGCGTGTGGCTGTGTAAAGCGTGTCTGTTTCCAGTGCTTGTGGAATTGATGTTAAAGTAAACTTCCCTGTGAGGTGTGTTAGGTCTTTTCTTAGTGATTTGAACACTTAGGGAGAAACACTGGAGCAACCCTGTAGGCTAAATCCAATTAGCGCACGGTTCTCTCTCCCCTGTGTTTTTACTTCATATCGATCTGGTAGCCAAGGCCTTCTGGGGGCCGATCTTGGTTCTCTTCGTGTTTGCTGCTGTGAGTAAGTCATAACTTCTCTGCCTCTGCTTCAGAATGTCAAATGCTTAAATTTGTTAAATACTCAGCTGCTTTGCAGAGAGAGGAAATGAGAGAGGTGTTGGCTATGAAAAAGAAAAACTTTTGCGTAGACACTCTGTTGTGTCCAGTTCAGAAATGTTGCTGCCAGCTGGCCTTTGGATGGACTGGCATCCCTTACTTGAAATATTTTTACCTTTTGAAGAAAGTGTCATATATATTCATGGCTGCAGTGCACAGTCCTTAGCTGTGACCGTGTGTGAAGGTAAGAGATTTAGACTTCGGGAATTCTCATCAGTGTCACTGGACTGTGATGCCAAATATGTTAGTGGACTGGAGATAACAGAACTTGTTTTCATTTTGCTATAGCTTCACCTACTCAACTTCCCTGGCCTGCGTGCAATCTGGCAGCATGTTAAGCAGTCGTGTCAGACTATAATTACGTTCCCTTGGTGTTATCATTAGCTAATTAACCTAGCAGCTGGGCACTCTTTGGTAATGCTGCGCAGCAGCTGCCTTTGCCATGGAGGACCTACATCTCCAACAGGTACCTCTGGAGAAGCTTGGAAACCTTGCTGACTGCAGGGTGAGGCCATGGAGCTGCTTTGCAGGGTATGCTGCTCAGATGGTTCCTCTTGTTAATTGGTGTTGCTTAATACAGGAAGAAAAAGATTCTCTGAAGGACCACTAGTATTTTGATTACCCTGGGCAATGAATTAAAGGTGTGCCATATTATTTATATAAATACATATACCCTTACTTGTGCATGTTTACACACATACTACACAAAGAAACATTTTTCTGGTAAGAAGTTAGGCTCCAAACAGAGCGCTCTAGCTCTCTGATGAACCCTAGGGCTAAAGAGCTTATCTGAAATTTGAAAAAACAAAACTTTCTGACATTCATTTTCTTTGCCTTAGTTATAACTTGCTCTTAACTATATTTCAGATCTGAAATGTCAGTGTGACAGCTGTTCACCTTTGTGTGTAATTTATTGGGAAAGGAAAAGAAAGAATTTGCTTGCTATCTGGTGCTGTGGTGCTCACCCATTTCTGTTTTTTGCCCAGTGCTCACAGACTGCAACTTCCATGCCAAATGCAATAAATATTTCTGTCCCGTAACTACATAGAGGCTGTATAGACCCTTCAAAAATTGCTTACAAGTTGTGTGTGGTTTATCTAACTTCCAAGGAATGTTCTGGGTTTGGAGCGTATAAATCAATGCTAGTTAACCATATCATCCAAGGGTGTAAATGCTACTCTGATGCTACGATTTTTGGTTTATCCAAGAAAAGAAATCTTAGATCAGCTTCAGCTCATTGTTTCACCTTGCCATAGCTCCCTGCTGCCCCGGAATGGGTCAGTTTAATTTTCCTTACCTGCACTTTTCCTGTATGCGTATCTACCACCTCTGCTATGGTAGCTTTGGGCTTGCATGGCTCTGGAGAGAGCTGCTATGATTGGAAGCAAAAAATACTGCTAATAAAATCTTTATAGGGTTAGCATTCAATTTGATCAGCTCCCTGGTTGGCTTGATGTGACATAGCTCCGTGAATGCCAGCAGCAGCAGAAGGAAGGCAGTGGGCAGTAGGGGTGAGGTCCCTTCTGAACCAGGATGGGACCTTCGTCAATTTAAGCTGATTGCTTTAAAGGCTATAGTTTTGCAGTCATTCACTGGAGATGCTTTAGCGTTTCCAACATTGGCAATGCTCTTATCTTCACCTAATGCTCTTATCTTTCACCTAATGCTTGACTCTTAATAACCTTTTGACTGCCAAATGGAAACAAATGCTCATCTAGGTGATGATTGAGGAAGGTGTCTTGAAATAAAAGGGATGCTCCTTTTTAGTGCCATCCCTGAGGCCTTGATGCCTAGGAATGATGCTTCTGAGGAAGGAGCTTTACACTTGCAGGGCACGGATGGAGGTAAGATAGCAGTCACTTTCTGAAGGATAACCCTACAAAAGCTGTGTTTCTAGCGAATGGTCCTCCTTTTCAAGCCCAGTCCGGATCTCTGTGATCTCTAGCTCATAGTAAAGCTCTGCAACTTCATGGTGAACTGCAGACTGGCTTTGATTACTCTTTGCTGCAGTTCAAAGCATCCTCTTGCTCAAGCTAAAGCTTCTCCTTTTATTTGATAATGATTATATTTCTCTAAACTGTTCCTGCAGAGAAGCCCTTTCTTCACATTCATGTTAAATGCTGGTTTTTCTGCTGAGACTTTAAATTCAGCTCATTCAATGGCTTGTGCTGTTGTCTGACATTAAGATTGCTGAAGTTAACCATTTGGACTAAAGTTTTTGATATTTGGTGCCTGGAGCTGTAAATTTAAACAAAAATGAAAAGCGTTTTCTCAGACCTGAAAAGAAAATGCTCATCCTGAACTCTTGTTTTTTCTTTTTAAAGAACACTGTAGTGTCTCCATGCATTGAAACACAATCTTGACTTTCAGCAGGGAAGTGATTTTTATGACTTATGCAGCATAGTAGTTGTTGTAGACGCCGTTGAAAAAGCAGATTCCATATGTATGTCATTGTTACTGTTTAATAACAGGTACAGAAATATCTGGTGTTACAGATCACGTTCCTTTTGAGAGATTGAAATGGAACCCAAATTCCGCATCCTCTCCTGTTACCATCGACAAGTAGGTTAAATCGGACTTTTCCAAGGTAATTTCTGTTTGCTGGTAACCATCTTAACTTGTGCTCTGACCTCTTGGATTCAATTAGTTTCAGTGCTCTGTATTTTTGAAGTACAGTTCGCTATATAAAAGTGAGGTATTAACAAAACACAAGATGAACATTCAAATTAGTAGATGGAATCTTGGATTCTGCCCGTGAAGTGCAGGCTTGTCTTTTAAGGTATCTTAAAAATTAATACATTAATGTTCTTGAAGCACTCAGTTAATAAAGAGGAGAATAATAATGGAAAGAATCTCATCCAGTCTATTCTTAAAATAGGATAATTTTAATGAAAAATTAGCATCAGACATATGTCTAACCTGTAACTGAGGTGACAGAAATGCCAGAACCCTCAAAGCAGCCAATTCCACTGCTTGGAGCACCTTTACTGTCAACATTTTTCAAGTGTTTATTGTCAGTCTTGCAGCAGTTCATCATATACTGTTTATTTTTTATGTTTTTGGACGAGGCCTGTTTGTGTTTCTCTTCAGTGTTCTCAAGGCTAGATCTCAGATTCTTAAACCATTTCTCATAGTCATAACCTCTAGATCACCAGTCATTGATGTTTCTTCTCCCTTGGTCTTTTTTACTGCTTAGAAGTGTGATGATCAAAACAGGCACTGAAACAGAGGTGCTCATCAGTTCCAGGTTGTCTGGGAGGTTTTGTCTGTGCCTTGGTCTATGTGCCTGTTTATAATCCTCAATATGATGATTTTTTTTTTTGTTTGCAACATGCAGTTAATTATTCCTACCCCAATATGGAAACCTCTGCATCAAATTACATTGTTTTTAAATGAATTTAATCCTGCCTGTCAGTGTCTTTGTAGATCTTGGCATTGTAATGTGCAGATTTAATAGGTGCATTCTGTTCCATCTTCCAGGCTATTAATAAAAGCACTGCATACCAGTGAATCCAGGATGGATCCTTTCTTGTTGTGCTTTAAAGGTTGTGAGGTCTCTTCCCATCCACTTCTTGTCTACCTTTAACTTCATTCACCCTGTTTTTCCTCCATGTCTATGAAGATGTGTAAGACCCAGTTATACCTTTATGAAAGTCTATATCTCCCTCTGTTACTTTGCTCTCTCAAACCATCTGTGTGATGTGCTACCCCTTCCTAGAGGGAAGTTGTCTC